TGTAGTAGTAGTAGTAGTAGTAGTAGTAGTACTTGTAGTAGTAGTAGTAGTACTTGTAGTAGTAGTAGTAGTACTTGTAGTAGTAGTAGTAGTAGTAGTAGTAGTACTAGTGTAGTAGTAGTAGTAGTAGTAGTAGTACTTGTAGTAGTAGTATTAATCCTGTGTCTTGTGTTTCAGGGGTTTGTTGAGGCTTTCTGTTACTGTGAGTATGATTCTTCCCTCTCACCAGGAGGTTGGGGGTTTGATTCCTGAGCGCAGTGAGTGTAGTGTGCATGTTCTCTGTGTGACTGTGGTAGTGTGCATGTTCTCTCTGTGTGTGTGACTGTGGTAGTGTGCATGTTCTCTCTGTGTGACTGTGGCAGTGTGCATGTTCTCTCTGTGTGACTGTGGCAGTGTGCATGTTCTCTCTGTGTGACTGTGGCAGTGTGCATGTTCTCTGTGTGACTGTGGTAGTGTGCATGTTCTCTGTGTGACTGTGGCAGTGTGCATGTTCTCTCTGTGTGACTGTGGCAGTGTGCATGTTCTCTGTGTGACTGTGGTAGTGTGCATGTTCTCTCTGTGTGACTGTGGTAGTGTGCATGTTCTCTCTGTGTGACTGTGGTGTGCATGTTCTCTCTGTGTGACTGTGGCAGTGTGCATGTTCTCTGTGTGACTGTGGCAGTGTGCATGTTCTCTCTGTGTGACTGTGGCAGTGTGCATGTTCTCTGTGTGACTGTGGTGTGTGCATGTTCTCTCTGTGTGACTGTGGCAGTGTGCATGTTCTCTCTGTCATGAGGAGGTTGTGGGTTTGATTCTTGTTCTCTCTGTGTCTTGTTTTACAGTTAACTGCAGCTCCAACCTGAAACATGTCGACCCCCAGAGTGAGTCAAGATCAAACAGACACACAACAGACACATGACAGACAACAGACACACGACAGACACACGACAGACACACAACAGACACAGACACACAACAGACACACGACAGACACACACAGACACACGACAGACACACGACAGACACACGACACACAACACACACACACAGACACACAACACACACACACAGACACACGACACACGACAGACACACGACAGACACGACAGACAGACACACGACACACGACAGACACAACAGACACAGACACACGACAGACACACGACAGACACACGACAGACACACGACAGACACACGACAGACACACACGACAGACACACGACAGACACACAACAGACACAGACACACAACAGACACACACAGACACACACACACAGACACACACACACAGACACACGACAGACACACGACAGACACACACAGACACACACAGACGAACGACAGACACACGACAGACACACGACAGACACACGACACACAACAGACACAGACACACAACAGACACACGACAGACACACACAGACACACGACAGACACATGACAGACACACGACAGACACACACAGACACACACAGACACACGACAGACACACGACAGACACACAACAGACACAGACACACAACAGACACACACAGACACACACAGACACACACACACACAGACACACGACAGACACACACAGACACACACAGACGAACGACAGACACACGACAGACACACGACACACGACAGACACACGACAGACACACACAGACACACGAACAGACACACGACAGACACACGACAGACACACACAGACACACACAGACACACACAGACACACGACAGACACACGACAGACACACAACAGACACAGACACACAACAGACACACACAGACACACACACACACAGACACACGACAGACACACGACAGACACACACAGACGAACGACAGACACACGACAGACACACGACACACGACAGACACACGACACACACACACACAGACACACGACAGACACACAACAGACACAGACACACGACAGACACACACACACGACAGACACACAACAGACACACACAACAGACACACACGACAGACACACGACAGACACACAACAGACACACACACACGACAGACACACGACAGACACACGACAGACACACGACAGACACACGACAGACACACACAGACACACAACAGACACAGACACACAGAGCTGTGCAGAAACAACAGAATCAAGTCTGACCCAACATAATTTCTAAATATTTGTCCGAACCTGTGGGACTTCGGTCGGTTTTCTATGATCCAGTGCAGGCGTCCTGTGACTGACTAACGACACGATTAAAACCGAACATCTTGTCATGTTTCTGTGGCCGTGGTCCCTCTGACTCGTCGCAGCAGATTTTGTGAAATTCTCTTAAACTGTTTCTTCTTTCAGAGGTCTGTGTGGGAGGATCCTGTTTCGAGCAGAATAACTTCATCCTGGTCACGGTGGCCGTCTGCTTTGTGGTCCTCGTGTTTTTTGGAGCTCTGTGGTGTTTCTACAAATATAAGAAACGTCGTGGTCAGCGAGATCTTCTGCGCCGGGCCGAGGAACTGGACCTGCAATCGTTTCCTCTGCAAAAGATGGTACCACTGCTGGACCAAGATGGAAGAAAGCCAGATGCCCCGGACGGCTCTCCTGCTCTCTGACGGGGCTGTGGCTTGACGCGCGAATAGAGATGAAACTATTTTTAACCAAACTACTCGAAAATGAACTTTAGTATTGGCCAGAGCTTTAGATCTCCTGGTGTGTGGACCTCCTGGTGTGTGGACCTCCTGGTGTGTGGTTTCTCAGGGGCGATGTTTTTGGCGAAGTTTTTCCCGAGAGGCTTCAGACGCTTTTTAATGATCTGACCATTTACAGTTAAAGCCTGTTGAGGTTTAACATAATGACATTGTTTTACACCAGATGCCCTTCCTCGCTCAGTGCAGTCTGTGCTTGACTCGGAGTTTGGGAGTTTCCGTGAAATCTTCTTTATGAAGAATTTATACGATATTCATCTGAACAAAACTGTTTATCACACAGGACTGAACCAGGTCTAAACCAGGACTGAACCAGGTCTAAACCAGGACTTCAGCTGGCCCTTCAGATCACATGACTTTAGAGGAAATGAAGGACGTGAGTGGACGCCTCAGCTCCTCCACCAGGGGGCGACGCACTCAGTAAATTATTTGACTGTTGGTGTTTGTCTCAGGTCTGGTGTTTTTGAAGAGGACAATACATTTATTTAATAAAATGATCTTAAATAATGTTTCTGGACATTTTGTTGTTGTTAAAGTTGAATTGTCACAGCACATTTTGTTTGTTGTGACCACAGAGCGTCTGTACTCGTATAAATGGACATAGATGCACCTGGTGATGTCATGACGTGGTAGTTTACATTAACAGTTCCTTTTCCCTTTAGTTCAGTGAAGATCCTCCAGGACTGAAATGATCCAGATGATTCTAGTGAAGGTGTGTGGAGTTTAAAAACACAGTGGAGCAATTCCTGTATCACCACATGATGACATCACAGGGTGGAACAGAGTGTGTGTGTTACTGCTGGTGCCTGTTGTACTGCTCATATTTGTACTTTTATAAATGTTTCATTTATTAATATTTGTTTGTAAATGAATCAATTCTCAAACATTTTATCAGCTTAAAAAATAAAAAATAAATAAAATAAATAAAAATAAAATAAATAATACAAGTTTCTGAGTTTTGTTTCAGTTAAACTGTCTCTGCTGCCCCCTGCTGGACACACTCTGTACAGCACAACAGTGTTTGTGTTTAGAACTGAACACAACTGTACACACTGTACACAACTGTACAACTGTACACTGTACAACTGTACAACTGTACACAACTGTACAACAACTGTACAACTGTACACACTGTACACAACTGTACAACTGTACACAACTGTACACAACTGTACAACTGTACACAACTGTACAACTGTAACTGTACACACACTGTACAACTGTACACAACTGTACAACTGTACACAACTGTACAACTGTACACTGTACACAACTGTACAACTGTACACAACTGTACAACTGTACAACTGTACACAACTGTACAACTGTACACAACTGTACAACTGTACACAACTGTACAACTGTACACAACTGTACAACTGTACAACTGTACACAACAACTGTACACACTGTACACAACTGTACACAACTGTACAACTGTACAACTGTACACAACAACTGTACACAACTGTACAACTGTACACAACTGTACAACTGTACAACTGTACACTGTACACAACAACTGTACAACTGTACTGTACAACTGTACACTGTACAACTGTACAACTGTACACAACTGTACACAACTGTACAACTGTACACAACTGTACAAACACACTGTACAAACTGTACACACTGTACACAACTGTACAACAACTGTACACAACTGTACACACTGTACACAACAACTGTACACAACTGTACAACTGTACACAACTGTACACAACTGTACAACTGTACAACTGTACACAACTGTACACACTGTACACAACTGTACAACTGTACACAACAAACTGTACACAACTGTACACACAACTGTACACAACAACTGTATACAACTGTACACACTGTACAACTGTACAACTGTAACTGTACACAATGTACACTGTACACAACTGTACAACTGTACACAACTGTACACTGTAACTGTACACAACTGTACACAACTATACAACTGTACACAACTGTACACAACTGTACACAACTGTACACAACTGTACACACACAACTGTACACAACTGTATACAACTGTACACAACTGTACACAACTGTACACTGTACAACTGTACACAACTGTACAACTGTACACAACTGTACACAACTGTACAACTGTACACAACTGTACAACTGTACAACTGTAACTGTATACAACTGTACAACTGTACACAACTGTACACAACTGTACACAACTGTACACAACTGTACACAACTATACAACTGTACACAACTGTACACAACAACTGTACACAACTATACAACTGTACACAACTGTACAACTGTACACAACTGTACACAACTGTACAAACTGTACAACTGTACACAACTGTACACTGTACAACTGTACACAACTA